TGTGGATGGCATTAAAATAATGAAAATAATATGCATTATAAACCCATTGACAGGAGTTGCAGTATGAAAATGGCAGTATAGGTTAAACAGTGTGCATTTTCTTCTTGAAAGTCACCCAGAAACCCAAGGAGAATGAGAAACAGAAAAATATGTTAAATCTTTGATAAAACTAGGAGTCAACTAAAACTCCAAACCACAGAATTGGTGGAAGGATCGGGTATCATTCAGAGTCCAGTCAGGAAAATGGAAGCCAGTATAAGTATTTCCAACGGAGGGCATTTAATGTAAGGGATTATTTACAAGAATGAGGGAGAGGGGAGAAGGAAGGGGTTCTGCAGGAGCCAAAGGGAGACAGTGTCATACCCAGAGTTCAGAAACAGTAACATCCCTGGGCTGGAGCCTCTGAGCCTGCGCCTGTTGCTGCATTCCCGGAGAAGTGTTTTTCAGTTGTTTCTGGTGCGGTGAAGAGGTACAGCCTTGGGCAGGGCTAGCAGCACTGAATAGATGTTTTTTCCCCCCAGTTCCTGCAGTCTGTACTCCCATCATGTGATGATTTTCCTAATCAAAGGGACTGCCACCAAGTGCCACCCTGTTGGAGCAAGAAGCAGGATTTTCCTTTCTCCTTCTCATCTGCCAGTTTTCACATTGGCAGACACTAACAGCAAGGCATCTGGAAAGGGAATCTGGGAAATGGTTTGTAGAATCCTGGACCCCATAGTGTAGAGCGGAGTGTAGAAGGAGCTTAAGAGCCGTCGAGTAAATAGCTAGAATAGGTTGCCAAAAGCAATGGTGATCAAATTGGTCTGGGATTTGATTTTACTTGATTTACAAGCTAATAACTTAGCCTATCACTGTTTCATTCTCTCTGAGAGAAGTGATCACATTAATCACAGCAGAGCAAGCAGCATGAACATCAGCATGAACAGCAGCATGTTTGTATCAGTTCCACCTGTCCAGCAAGTCCCACCAAGGCCACACAGAGGGCCCAGGTGGATTTCATTGTGCAGAGGTGCACTGAGCTTGGGAAAATCACTGCTTTACAGTCAGAAGTAAGCAAGACTGCTTGCTGTTTGTCCTGGAGGGGGACATGACCTCTACCTTCTTCAAGGTTGCTTGCAGCAAACAACAATGGCCCAGCGGAAGCCTGGGCAGAGCCTTGCATATTTAGCACATCTGGCAAGATGTGTAGGAGCATGAGAAACCTCTGGAGGAGTGTCTCTTCCCAGTGTCTGGTAGGAAGTGACTGGTTGGACATTTTGGGGTAACACTATAAAAGAATGGGGCCTGTAACTGGTGTTTATTATGTCATGATAGTGAAAACATCTGGGCAACGGACACCTGTTCTGCTTTTGTAAAACATAGTTTTATCAGTTTGGGGGTTGGAACTGAAAGGGATAAATGAGGCCCATGTTCATTCTGAGTGGGAAAACTGTACAGTGCTGTGCAAGGGGATTGTGTACAGTAGGAGACCAGGATTGACAAAATGTGCCTTGTCCGCTTTAGCCACAGACAGAATATGTGAATTCATATGTGTTTGAAGGTGAGCCTTCAGGACTCTGATGAGAGACTCACTATGCAGGCTTATTACTTGCCATTTAGTACTCTCCTTATAATGGTTTTAGAGACCTGGAAGCCTGCACTCCATTTATCATTATTTATATTGCTGATCTCTCTGCCGTGTACGAGTGACTGTGCTCATCAGATCAGCATTGTTACCAGGTATCCAGGACTGGTCTTGATGTCATTCTGAGTGTACTGCTGATGTTTATCAGCACGGTTGTCATGCAGATTAGTATCAGAAGCAGGAATGATGCAAAGACCTGGACCATTATGTAAGTCCCTGTGGAGAAAGAGCCAGGATAATAAAGAGCCAGGAAGATGATACTGGACTGCACGCCTCTCTGCTAATCTGGGGTTTGACGTCTATTCTCTCAGCTCAATCTTTTCAGGGTCACCCAACTGAAAAATCTCAACTGCTGTCAGGAGGGCCCTCCACTCTCTCTCTGAGTGGTGTGGCGGTATTGTGCCCTGGAGTACTGCCCTACCAGTTTAGCGTTCCTCTACACTCTGCCTACACTCTTGTAAACATGGGCATAGCTCGGAGATGCTGCAGGTTCAGGCCAGACCATCTTAATAAAGCAAATAACACAATAAAGCAAGTCACACAGTTTTTTGTTTTGTTTCCCAGTGAATAAAAGTTATGTTTACACTATACTGCAATCTGTTGTGTGCAATAGGATTATGTCTAAAAGTGTACATGCCTTAATTAAAAATACTCTATTGCTAGAAAATGCTAACCATCATCTGATCTTGTTGGAAAAATGGTGCTGATACACTTGCTCAACACAGGGTTGCCACCAACTTTCAATTTGAAAAAAAGAGTATATGTAAGGCACAATAAAGGAAAGCCCCAATAAAATGAGGTGTACCCGAAGCCCTCCTTTTTAAATAACCCCTTTTAGAACTCATAGAATCATCTAGTTTGTGCCAATTGTTTCTTGTCATGGCCCTGACTGATGCACTTGCTTTGATCTTTGACTCAAAAGAATGGTTTAGAGTACAGCATGATCTCTCAGTAGTCTTTCTAGATGTTTGCAGCCTGCAGTCCAAGAGCCAAGGATCTGATACAATGGCTGTGGTATTGATCCCCCCAACAAACTGTGTTTAAAGCTGCAGGCTTTATAGAACTGTATTTGGAATGTCTGTGTAATTATTTTGGTGGATCGTGGTCAGCATATAATTTGGAAGCAGCCATTACTAATGCTATGACATTTAGTCATAGTATGATAGTTTTAGTATTTATGTTAAAAATCAGAATGGTATAACTGTGGGCTTATAATTCATATCAGCAGACCCTGATGGAATAATAGCAGTGGTAGTGATGGTATCCAACAAAGTCTTTGAACTCTGGTCACCAGCTAATGTGGTGCCCGTTGTCCTGGGCAAGGATCAAAAGACAAGGAAGGAAAATTGTAGTTAACCCTGAGTTGCTAAAAATTGGCTTATAAAAATTTACAAGTTCTACCTATGGAAGGGGTGAAAGTAATGGGCTATTAAAAATGTATGATCAAACATGAAATAGTATGTGACATATAATCTAATATGTTGGATATTCTAAAACTTGTTCTCACTGGTTAATTCTAACACATAGATGGGAGATCTTAGTGTATTTCTTCTCATGAGGGGATATAAGAGGTGTTACAATAACAAAAATCTGGATCTAGAACCGAGGCCATCAAAAAAGCACAACAGGGTGGGTGGTAGGTTGTGGGACAAGCCCTTTATCTGTGGTCCTATTACAGGACTCCCTGAGATCACTGGGAACTAGTCTTCTGATTCTGCAGCACGCAGCTCTGGGAGCACTTGGCCAGGCTGTTAAGAAAGCTGAGAAAGCTGAGGGGGATTAAGGAGTACTGTGCTTATGCCCGAGTGGACACTACAGTGTTCTGAAATCATATTGTACACCACGTGATGCCAGGATTGAGGACGCTCACCTGGCTCAGGTGAGTGGCTCCTTGGCATGCATTCAGAAGAGGCTGTCTCATTCATTCAGACTTATCATCTGCTACTCTGTGAGGTCCTTTTGAGAGGACCTAAAAGCATAACTTTCTGTCTTTCATTGGATAATGTTGCTGAACTCTCTGTATCTTGATTTCTCTCCGTCCTCCAGATAAATACTGTGTTTTCAAACTGTATTTTTCATAACTCATTAGTAGATTGCAAAATCAAGTTTGTGATCAGCAAGCAAAATTGAAGGAAGTAGAATGTGATAGAAAATATCAGAAAGCCACACATAGAACCATATTTCACAAAATATGGTTTTGTGAAACTTTCGTGTTCACACACACACACACACACACAAACACACATACATACACACACATAAGTATGTAATATATATACTTATATTTAGATTGTCACATATATATGTCATATAAAATATTGTTTGTCATGGTCAACATTTGTAAGGCATTGCTGTAGATAAATAAGCCTCCTTTGCTTGACAAGTGCTATCTATGTATAATCTCGGTCAGCTTAACTACTTATCAATATGGGGTGGGCAAAAGTAGATTTACAGACATGCAGGTTATGATAATTACAGTAGTTTTATTAACTGAAAAGGATGTCACAATGGCACAGTGCTCGGAGGTACAATCCCGTAAGTGCTCGAATTGCCTGCATTCATTATTCACACGTTCTTGTAGTCTTTGAAAATTAGTAAAGGAACCTGGATATCAGTGACCTGCCTGGGTCAGCCCACTGCCTCCTGAGGTGGTTGAACTCAGATCTGCTTCTTCCTACCCCTACACAGTGGTCATGTATTCTGAACATTCATATTTTGAATAGCTTATATGCTGTGTTCCATTATTGCTATCATGCAGGTGTTTGGATAGCTGATATATGTTATATTTCTGATAATATGGCTCACTGGGGAGGAACTCGGGGCCCCTAGCTAAGCCACACTTTAAGAGGCACAATAGTGGTACTGGCTGAACTTTTTCTATTTATAGACTTGGCCTTCCTCCAGGGCGATTCTGGGGAGCACTTGATAGTGCTTTATGGTGGAATTCTGTTATTTCCCCTTTCTGTGTCTCCTCCTTCTTGATCATTTGTGTGACTCTTCCAGTGACACTCACTCTTTTGTCCTGGGTGGCTCAGAGCCCTGCTTCCTTTGAAATTGAGTCCAAGTCCTCCATCTTCTTTGTGACTCACATCTCTCCCTTCTCTGTGTGACACTGGACACGACTCTATTTGCATGTTGGCAACAAGCACCTGAGTTTAGATCACAGATCCATGTCATCTGTGAAGAGGACAGACTAACCCGAAAGAGCCAGAGAGGGTTCCATAAACTATGCTCTACAGCAGCCTAAACTGAGAAAAGAAGAGACAGGTTCAGTGAAGCAGCAGGTAGAGGCAACAGGTTCACAGGGAGAAATTTCAAATCAGCAAGGAGCTTGTACAGCAGCAGAAAGAACAAAGGTCAGGTCTGCCTAGTAGCTGGAATGTCAGGACTGGCCAAGTGGGTGTTTCTGTTTCTTTCTGTCACTCAGTTCCTCCTGGGAATGCTGGGGAATGGCTTCATTGTGCTGGTCAATGGCAGCAGCTGGGTCAAGAGCAAGAGAATCTCTTTGTGTGACTTCATCATCACTAGCCTGGCTCTCTCCCGGATTGTTCAGCTGTGGATTCTTTCTTCTGATTTTGTAATAATGATATTCTTTTCCAAACTATTAAATAATGAGGTATTCCTTCACGTTACTGATATTTTATGGACAATTACAAACCATCTGAGCATTTGGCTTGCCACCTGTCTCGGTGTCTTCTACTGCCTGAAAATTGCCAATTTCTCCCACCCCACATTCCTCTGGCTCAAGTGGAGAGTTGCCAGGGTGGTCGTATGGATGCTGTTGTGTGGGCTGCTCTTATCGTGTAGTGATGCCATGTCTCTGATTCCTCAGTTTAAGATGTATTATGTTCTCCGGGGAGCTGATGACTCAGGGAATGTGACTGAGCACTTGAGAGAGCTAAAGAATGAATACGAGGTGATCCATGTTCTTGGGACACTGTGGAACCTCCTTCCCCTAATTGTGTGTTTGGCCTCCTACATCCTGCTCATCCTCTCCCTGGGGAGGCACACGCGGCAGATGCAGCAGAACAGAACCAGCCCCAGCGATCCAAGCACCGAGGCCCACAAGAGGGCCATCAAAATGGTCCTCTCCTTCCTCTTTCTCCTCCTGCTTTACGTTCTTGCCTATTTACTCACATCATCCCATTATTTCCTACCAGGAACTGTGTTGACTAAGATGATTACAGAACTAACTGCAATGTTTTATCCTGCCTGCCACTCATTTATTCTCATTCTGGGAAATAGTAAGCTGAAGCAGACATTTGTGGAGCTGCACTGGTGTAAGTCTGTTCATCTGAAGCCTGGATCCAAAGAACGCTTTTCCCCATAAAATGACAGAAGGACACTTCTCTTGCCCCTCTTTGCATGGTTGTTTTGGAGACCGTAAAACAGTCTTTGGAAAATGTCAATATATAAGAGCACTCTCACTATGTGGTCATAGAGTTCTATTTTAATAACTATGAGCTCTACGTAGTCAGCTGATATTGAGCTTTAAGATAAAGTTTATACTGACAATGATAAGCTCTTGTAAGTAAAACAGTGTAGTGGACTTGAGGGAAAGAGCAAAAGCATTGAAGTCCCACAGACTTTGGTTTGAATTCTGGTTCTGTCCATTTTCTAAGACTTTTGTCCTTAAGTGAGCTACTTTAATCACCTGTCTGGTCCTCTCATCCCTCATTTAAAATGTGGACTGTGAGATCACCTCACAGAGTCTTAGAGATGCATGAGACCATGTGTGCCAGCATTTCAGCACAGTATATGGTATAAAGTGCTCAACAGGTGAAGCTCTCATTATAACTAACCGTGAACTGTGCAGCAGTTGCCACAAGTTACCAGTTGCCACGAATTCACTGTGTGATAAACAATGCTGAGGAATGACAATCAAGACCCTTGGATCCTGTTTCCAATCCAGTCTTCCAGTGGTGAAGTCATTTTCCTTCCATTGCAATTGTCCTTGCATTCCTTTGCCATTTTGCTAAAGTATAATTTCAAGTACTTTCTGTTATTTTTTAGATTGAGCAAAAAGTCCAAGCATTTTTAAAATGACCCCAGATGGACATCTGCTTTTAAATTTTCAGAGTGTTGTTGGAAAATAATATAAGTAGTTTTTATAAGTTTAATCACATTTATTTTAATACAATTACATAGAAATTGATTTACTTCCTATCACTGAACAGTGGCTACAGGTCAATGAGAATATTATTGCTTAAGATCACGAAGAATTATCCAACTTGTGAACATACCCAGGACACACGGCAATCCTGAATCAGGATTTTATCACTAATGGGGCTCTCTCAGGTGAAGCTATCAGAATGTGGACCCTGAGAGCCTGGGTTCATATCCTGACCCTTAGGAACAAGGTGACTTCAGGGAAGTTCCTTAATCTCTATTTCACTTTTCTTGTTTATAAAATGGGAATGGTATTGTTGGTAGAATTGTTGTGGAAGGAATGAATGAGTCAACAACATGAAAAATGCTTCGAGTCCTACATGGAGTAAAAATACTTCATAAATATTGCTATTGTTATTGTTCTTATTTTGTTGTATTTTGACATAGCATGAAGGATCACCACACTACTTGCATTTGGTCATATGTAACCAGAAATCAATTTTAGGATGGTTCTGGGATTTATATATTCATTTCTAAAATTACGGAATAAAATGTCGTTTGATCTGTTTGCTTTCAAATTAATGCTTGCCTCTTGAAGCTGCTGGGAAACATTATAATTCCAACATAACTTAAAATTCTCTTTGAAAAAGGCATCTGTTGAAACTTAAAAGAATGATTTCATATTCATTCCCAGTTTACCAAAATGGATTCTGAAACAGGTCTTTCTGTAATTGGTAAAAATCTGTGCTTCTCTTAAGCACAGGGCAGTTTAGCAGAGGAGATCCATGCTGTCTGGATTGGCACCTGTTTTTCACCCTGACCCACCCCCTGCTCTCAGTTTCATCCTTACCCACTCTTGATCACTTGTTGCTATTTTCTGTCACTTTGACAACTTCTCTGCCTAGCTCTGACCTTCTGGTTCTTTGCCCTTCCCTGAATTCCTGATTCTGCCTTCTGCCTCAGGCATGGGATTTTCCTCTCTTTTCATGGAACATGACATTTTCCTGGAGATTTTGGCTTGGCTGCTGTTTGGTTCTTGGTGCCTTTGGCTAGCTTCTGAAGGCTCCCTCCCTACTGTTTCCCTGTAGCTCCATTAAACCCTACCCCGACCTAACAGATTTAGATATGGTGCAGTGAACATGCTAAAGTTACCACTACTGTTCACTCCATTAGAGGCCAGGGTGTGGCTGGAAAACCTGGGATTCCCTGGGTGGGAGTCTGCTGTGGGAGTCCAGTTGGCTGAGTGCCAGCTCCTCATCGAGTCCCAGGGCATGGGGAAGAATTACCTAATTAATACCTCAGGCCCAGTTTTGAGAAACACTGGAAAGGGCCATCTTGTTTGTTTTGTTTTGCTTTCAGTGAATTAGCTTGAGTTGCTAAACCCCTTAAAACTCTTAAACTTAAATCTAGTTGTTTGCTGCACAAGGCACCAGAGCATGGCTTTCCTCCACTACAACCAGGTTCCCTGGGCCAGAGCATGGGGATGAGAATTGTCCCTGCATTGGGAGTTCAATTATATGTTAGAGCTTGTTCCTAAGGCCACGTGTGTCCTCTGACACACGTCTGTCTCTGGTGTATTGCGGAGGACTTTAACACGTGACTCAATGGCAACTTATATCAGTAGCTCATGAGACCTTCCAAGTTTCCATTAGAACCTCTATTTTAAGTCACATGGGATTACTTCTCTTTTTTAGTACTCTCTGACCTCTTGGGCCAAGTTCATAGGTCTTGACAATTAATGAGTTTGGGTCCAGGAGGATTATCAATGAAAAAGACAACAACAAAAATACATTCCCAAATTTCTCAGTTTCAGTGCTTATGAGTGCTCTTTGTTTTATGCAATGTCCCTTCTCTTTCCCAACCGTTGATGAATAGGGCTAGCTAGAGCATCTTAAAGTTGTGTTTGTAATTTAACTTTGGATAAGTGGAAAGTCAATGTTATTTGTTCCTATCCTGCAAGAAGTTCTTTTTTTTTTTTTTATAATATACTAGAGGGGGGTGCCTCAGCCTGGCCTGTGCCCTCTCGCAGTCTGGGACCCCTCGGGAGATAACGCCCTGCTGGCTTAGGCCTGCTCCCGGGTGGCAGAGGGCAGGCTCAATCCCTAGGTGCAGCCCCTGGTTGGGCTCAGAGCAGGGCTGATTGGGGAGTTGGGGCGCCACCCGCTGTCATGCACAGAGCGATGCCACCCTCAGTCACGCTCAGGGTAGGGCCGATTGGGGGTTTGGGGCATCGCCCCCTGTCACACTCAAGGCAGGGTCGATGGGGAGGTTGCGGTGCCACCCCCTGTCACGCACAGAGCAGGGCCAATCCGGGGGTGGGGCGCTGCCCCTTGTCACCCACAGAGCAGGGCCCATCAGGGGGGTTGGGGCTCCTTACCCTGTCATGCACAGAGCAGGGTCGATCAGGGGGTTGGGGAGCTACCCCTGTCACGCACAGAGCAGGGCCAATCCGGGGGTTGGGGAGCTCCCCCCTGTCACTCACAGAGTAGGGCCGATAGGGGAGTTGGGGCACCACCCCCTGTCACACACAGAGCAGGGCGGATCAGGGGGTTGGGGCGCCGCCCTCTATCACCCACAGAGCAGGCCCGATCAGGGGGTTGGGGCGCCGCCACTGTCACACTCAGGGCAGGGCCGATGGGGAGGTTATGGCTCTACCCCATCACACACCCAGCAGTGCCCGTGAGGGGGGTGGGTTCGGGCGCCGCACCCTGTCACACACAGAGCCGCAGGGCGATCAGGGGGTTGGGGAGCTCCCCCCGTATCAGGCACAGAGCAGGGCTGATCAGGAGGTTGGGGCGCCTTCCCCTGTCACGAACAGAGCAGGGCGGATAGGGAGGTTGTGGCCCCCCCCCCCCCCCCCGTCACACACAGTGCCGCAGGGCCATCAGGGGGTTTGGGCGCTGCCCGTCACGCTGATCCCGGTGCCGGGAGGCCTCGTGGCTCCGCTGATACCAGTGCTGGGAGGCCTCGCGGCTCTGCTGATCCTGGTCCTGGGAGGCATATTACCCTTTTACTATATAGGATAGAGGCCTGGTGCATGGGTGGGGCTGGCTGGTTTGCCCTGAAGGGTGTCCTGGATCAGGGTGGGGGTCCCCACTGGGGTGCCTGGCCAGCCTGGGTGAGGGGTTGATGGCTGTTTGCAGCTGGTCACACACCCTTCAGGGTGGGGGTCCCCACTGGGGTGCCTGGCCAGCCTGGGTGAGGGGATGATGGCTGTTTGCAGCTGGTCACACCCCCTTCAGGGTGGGGGTCCCCACTAGGGTGCCTGGCCAGCCTGGGTGAGGGGATGATGGCTGTTTGCAGCTGGTCACACATCCTTCAGGGTGGGGGTCTCCACTGGGGTGCCTGGCCAGTCTGGGTGAGGGGCTGAGGGCTGAAGCTCCCAACTACTCCTTTTTTTCCTTTTTTTAAATTCTGGGCCAGCTTTAGCTCTGGCTCCAGCTCTGAGGCTTCCGCTGCTGAAAGCAGGTATCTGGTTTGTTTAGGTTCTATAATCGAAACAATGTATAACTCCAGCTCTGAGATCCCAGCTCGCTGAAAGCAGGTTTCTGGGTTTTTTTTTTAGCTTCTATATTTGTTACGTTTCAAACTGCAGGCTCAAAGGCCGGCAAGGCAGGCGGGGAACGTTGGTTTCCTCCCTCACTGAAGCAAGCAAGCCTCATGTTAGTTTCAAGCTGCCTGGCTGCCGGCCGCCATCTTGGCTGGCAGCTAATTTGCATATCACCCTGATTAGCCAATGGGAAGGGTAGCGGTCGTACGCCAATTACCATGTTTCTCTTTTATTATATAGGATTTTATTGATTTTTTACAGAGAGGAAGGGAGAGGGATAGAGAGTTAGAAACATCGATGAGAGAGAAACATCCATCAGCTGCCTCCTGCACAACCCCCACTGGGGATGTGCCCACAACCAAGGTACATATCCTTGACTGGAATTGAACCTGGGATCCTTCAGTCCACAGGCTGACGCTCTATCCACTGAGCAAAACTGGTCAGGGCTGCACTACAATATTATTACTATTTTAATCTATCAAGGTTTGAGTCTGGAGTATGTAGCTCATAGTGTCCTACTCTTATGACAGTGAATCCGTGAACTTTCTTGTTGCTGGTGGTATAAGAGGACAAGGAAGGAACAGACCTCCCAGTCCCCAGCAGACATTGGGAAGGAGAGAGGGAGAGAGAAAAGGGATTTCAGTAGAACAGGTAAGAGTCCTGATTTTCCC